ATATATCCCTGATAAAACTGTCCTCCCTGACAACACTGTCCACCCTGACACCACTGTCTTCCCTGATAACACTGTCCTCCTTGGCAACACTGTCGACCTGGACAACTCTGTTTTTCCCTGACAGCACTGTCAACACTGACAACACTGTCCACACTGACAACACTGTCCTCACTGACAACACTGTCGTCACTGACAACACTGTCCTCACTGACAACACTGTCGACACTGGCAATACTGTCCACCTTGACAACACTGTATATCCTGACAGCACTATCCAACATGTAAAGTAAAAGGACACAAGTGCAACTAATGTGACATTTTATTGTGGCAACGTTTCGCTCTCCAGGAGCTTTCACAAAGCCCCTGGGGAGCGAAACGTTGCTACAATAAAACGTCACATTAGTTGTACTTGTGTCCTTTTACTTTACATATTGTCGGTAATTCTACCAACTTTATTACTACCCACCATGACAATAATGTCCGCCCTGACAACACTGTTCAGCCTGACAACACTGTCCAGCCTGACAACACTGTCCAGCCTGACAACACTGTCCATCCTGACAACACAGTCCAGCCTGACAACACCGGCCAGCCCGACAACACTGTCCAGCCCGACAACACCGTCCAGCCTGACAACACTGTCCAGCCTGACAACACTGTCCAGCCTGACAACACTGTCCAGCCTGACAACACTGTCCAGCCTGACAACACTGTTCAGCCTGACAACACTGTCCAGCCTGACAACACTGTCCATCCTGACAACGCAGTCCAGCCTGACAACACCGGCCAGCCTGACAACACTGTCCGCCCTGACAACACTGTCCAGCCTGACAACACTGTCCAGCCTGACAACACTGTCCAGCCTGACAACACTGTCCAGCCTGACAACACTGTCCAGCCTGACAACACTGTCCAGCCTGACAACACTGTCCAGTCCGACAACACAGTCCAGCCTGACAACACTGTCCAGCCTGACAACACCGGCCAGCCTAACAACACTGTCCAGCCTGACAACACCGTCCAGCCTGACAACACTGTCCAGCCTGACAACACCGGCCAGCCTAACAACACTGTCCAGCCTGACAACACCGTCCAGCCTGACAACACTGTCCAGCCTGACAACACTGTCCAGTCCGACAACACAGTCCAGCCTGACAACACTGTCCATCCTGACAACACTGTCCAGCCTGACAACACTGTCCAGCCTGACAACACTGTCCAGCCTGACAACACTTTCCAGCCTGACAACACTGTCCAGCCTGACAACACTGTCCAGCCTGACAACACTGTCCAGTCCGACAACACAGTCCAGCCTGACAACACTGTCCAGCCTGACAACACCGGCCAGCCTAACAACACTGTCCAGCCTGACAACACCGTTCCAGCCTGACAAACACTGTCAATGACCTGAAACAACCCGTGCAGCCCTAACAACTCTGTCCAGCCTGACAACACCGTCCAGCCTGACAACACTGTCCAGACCTGACAACACTGTCCAGTCCGACAACACAGTCCAGCCTGACAACTCTGTCCAGCCTGACAACACCTGTCCAGCCATGACAACACTGTCCAGCCTGACAACACTGTCCAGCCTGACAACACTGTCTGCAGCCTGACAACACTGTCAGCTGAAACAACTGTCTCAGCTGACAACACTGTCCAGTCCGAAACAGAGTCCAGTCCGACAACATGTCCAGCATGACAACACGGCCAGCCTAGACAAACACTGTCCAGCTGACAACACGTCCAGCCTGACAACACGTCCAGCTGACAACACTGTCCAGTTCCGGACAACACAGTCAGTGCTGACAACATGGTTCCAGGCCTGGACATACACCGGCCTGCCTAACAACACTGTCCAGCCTGACAACACTGTCCAGCTGACACACACGTCCAGCCTGACAACACCGTCATCCTGACAACACCGTTCCAGCTGACATACTCAGTCCAGGCCTGACAACACCGTCCAGAATGACACTACGGGGTCTGTCAGCTGACAACGGACGTCCAGCCTGGACAACTCTGTCCAGCTGACAACCGTCCAGAATGAAACTCTGTCAGCCTGACAACTCTGTCCAGAATGACAACTTGTCCAGCCTGACAACTATGTTCCAGACTGCTAACTCTGTCAGCCTGGACACACTGTCCAGGAATGACAACTCTGTCAGGTGACATACCGTCCAGAATGACAACTCTGTCAGCCTGACAACTCTGCAGGCCTGGACAACTACTGTTCCGGGAGAATGCCAACTCTGTCCAGCCTGACAACTCTGTCCAGAATGACAACTCTGTCCAGCCTGACAACACCGTCCAGAATGACAACTCTGTCCAGCCTGACAACTCTGTCCTTACGACAATATTGACAACACTGTCCTCCCTGCGAGATTGTCCACCCAGACAACACTGATGTTTTAAATAAGCATTGTGGTGATGGTGACAATATGGTGTATCACTACAGTGGTGATGGTGACAGTATGGTGTATCACTACAGTGGTGATGGTGACAGTATTGTGTATCACTACAGTGGTGATGGTGACAGTATGGTGTATCACTACAGTGGTGATGGTGACAGTATGGTGTATCACTACAGTGGTGATGGTGACAGTATTGTGTATCACTACAGTGGTGATGGTGACAGTATGGTGTATCACTACAGTGGTGATGGTGACAGTATGGTGTATAACTACAGTGGTGATGGTGACAGTATGGTGTATCACTACAGTGGTGATGGTGACAGTATGGTGTATCACTACAGTGGTGATGGTGACTGTATGGTGTATCACTACAGTGGTGATGGTGACAGTATGGTGTATCACTACAGTGGTGATGGTGACAGTATGGTGATATCACTACAGTGGTGATGGTGACAGTATGGTGTATCACTACAGTGGTGATGGTGACAGTATGGTGTATCACTACAGTAGTGATGGTGACTGTATGGTGTATCACTACAGTGGTGATGGTGACTGTATGGTGTATCACTACAGTGGTGATGGTGACAGTATGGTGTATCACTACAGTGGTGATGGTGACAGTATGGTGTATCACTACAGTGGTGATGGTGACAGTATGGTGTATCACTACAGTGTGGTGATGGTGAACAGTATGGTGGTTAATCACTACAGTAGTGATGGTGACTGTATGGTGTATCACTACAGTGGTGATGGTGACAGTATGGTGTATCACTACAGTGGTGATGGTGACAGTATGGTGTATCACTACAGTGGTGATGGTGACAGTATGGTGTATCACTACAGTGGTGATGGTGACAGTATGGTGTATCACTACAGTGGTGATGGTGACAGTATGGTGTATCACTACAGTGGTGATGGTGACAATATGGTGTATCACTACGAGTGGGATGGATGACAATATGTGTGTATCATACAGTGGTGATGGTGACAATATGTGTACACTACAGTGGTGATGGTGACAATATGGTGTATCACGACAGTAGTGATGGTGACAATATGGTGTATCACGACAGTAGTGATGGTGACAGTATGGTGTATCACGACAGTAGTGATCGTGACAGTATGGTGTATCACTACAGTGGTGATGGTGACAATATGGTGTATCACTACAGTGGTGATTGTGACAATATGGTGTATCATTACAGTGGTGATGGTGACAATATGGTGTATCACGACAGTAGTGATGGTGACAGTATGGTGTATCACTACAGTGGTGATGGTGACAATACGGTGTATCACTACAGTGGTGATGGTGACAATATGGTGTATCACGACAGTAGTGATGGTGACAATATGGTGTATCACGACAGTAGTGATGGTGACAGTATGGTGTATCACGACAGTAGTGATGGTGACAGTATGGTGTATCACTACAGTGGTGATGGTGACAATATGGTGTATCACTACAGTGGTGATTGTGACAATATGGTGTATCATTACAGTGGTGATGGTGACAATATGGTGTATCACGACAGTAGTGATGGTGACAGTATGGTGTATCACTACAGTGGTGATGGTGACAGTATGGTGTATCACGACAGTAGTGATGGTGACAGTATGGTGTATCACTACAGTGGTGATGGTGACAGTATGGTGTATCACTACAGTGGTGATGGTGACAATATGGTGTATCATTACAGTGGTGATTGTGACAATATGGTCTATCATTACAGTGGTGATGGTGACAGTACGGTGTATCACTACAGTGGTGATGGTGACAGTATGGTGTATCACTACAGTGGTGATGGTGACAGTATGGTGTATCACTACAGTAGTGATGGTGACAATATGGTGTATCACGACAGTAGTGATGGTGACAGTATGGTGTATCACTACAGTGGTGATGGTGACAGTATGGTGTATCACTACAGTAGTGATGTGACAGTATGGTGTATCACTACAGTAGTGATGGTGACAGTATGGTGTATCACTACAGTGGTGATGGTGACAGTATGGTGTATCACTACAGTGGTGATGGTGACAGTATGGTGTATCACTACAGTGGTGATGGTGACAGTATGGTGTATCATAAGTGGTGTGGGACAGTATGGTGTATCACTACAGTAGTGATGGTGACAGTATGGTGTATCACTACAGTGGTGATGGTGACAGTATGGTGTATCACTACAGTGGTGATGGTGACAGTATGGTGTATCACTACAGTGGTGATGGTGACTGTATGGTGTATCACTACAGTGGTGATGGTGACAGTATGGTGTATCACTACAGTGGTGATGGTGACAGTATGGTGTATCACTACAGTGGTGATGGTGACAGTATGGTGTATCACTACAGAGGTGATGGTGACAGTATGGTGTATCACTACAGAGGTGATGGTGACAGTATGGTGTATCACTACAGTGGTGATGGTGACAGTATGGTGTATCACTACAGTGGTGATGGTGACAGTATGGTGTATCACTACAGTGGTGATGGTGACAGTATGGTGTATCACTACAGTGGTGATGGTGACAGTATGGTGTATCACTACAGTGGTGATGGTGACAGTATGGTGTATCACTACAGGATTCAGAGTGTCACCAGCAGCAGTGTCAGCAGCAGCCCTGACGTCACTACCCAGCACACAGGACGTGGTGAAGCTGGAGCTGACATATGTGACTGATGATATAGCGAGTCATGCCTGTGACCTGGCCCAGGAGCTACAACCACCAGGAGGGTGAGTCTGCCTCTATTCTTCATGTGTTGTGAGGTGGTCCATGAGCTACAACCACCAGGAGGGTGAGTCTGTCTCTATTCTTCATGTGTTGTGAGGTGGTCCAGGAGCTAAACCACCAGGAGAGCGAGTCCGTCACTAATGTTCATATGTTGTGAGTGAGGTGGCCCAGGAGCTACAACCACCAGGAAAGTGAGTCCGTCACTGTTGTTCATGTGTTGTGAGTGAGGTGGTCCAGGAGCTACAACCACCAGGAGGGTGAGTCCATCACTGTTTTTCTTGTGTTGTGAGTGAGGTGATCCAGGAGCTACAACCCCAGGAAAGTGAGTCCATCACTGTTGTTCTTGTGTTGTGAGTGAGGTGGTCCAGGAGCTACAACCACCAGGAGGGTGAGTCGTTAATGTTCTTGTGTTGTGAGTGAGGTGGCCCAGGAGCTACAACCACCAGGAGGGTGAGTCCTTCACTGTTATTCTTGTGCTGTGAGTGAGGTGGCCCAGGAGCTACAACCACCAGGAGGGTGAGTACGTTAATGTTCTTGTGTTGTGAGTGAGGTGGCCCAGGAGCTACAACCACCAGGAGGGTGAGTCCTTCACTGTTATTCTTGTGTTGTGAGTGAGGTGGTCCAGGAGCTACAACCACCAAGAGGGTGAGTCCTTCACTGTTATTCTTGTGTTGTGAGTGAGGTGGTCCAGGAGCTACAACCACCAGGAGGGTGAGTCCTTCACTGTTATTCTTGTGTTGTGAGTGAGGTGGCCCAGGAGCTACAACCACCAAGAGGGTGAGTCCTTCACTGTTATTCTTGTGTTGTGAGTGAGGTGGCCCAGGAGCTACAACCACCAAGAGGGTGAGTCCTTCACTGTTATTCTTGTGTTGTGAGTGAGGTGGTCCAGGAGCTACAACCACCAGGAGGGTGAGTTCTTCACTGCTGTTCTTGTGTTGTGAGTGAGGTGGTCCAGGAGCTACAACCACCAGGAGGGTGAGTTCTTCACTGTTATTCATGTGTTGTGAGTGAGGTGGTCCAGGAGCTACAAGCTCCAGGAGGGTGAGTTCTTCACTGTTATTCATGTGTTGTGAGTGAGGTGGTCCAGGAGCTACAACCACCAGGAGGGTGAGTTCTTCACTGTTATTCATGTGTTGTGAGTGAGGTGGTCCAGGAGCTACAACCACCAGGAGGGTGAGTTCTTCACTGTTATTCATGTGTTGTGAGTGAGGTGGTCCAGGAGCTACAACCACCAGGAGGGTGAGTTCTTCACTGTTATTCATGTGTTGTGAGTGAGGTGGTCCAGGAGCTACAACCACCAGGAGGGTGAGTCCTTCACTGCTGTTCTTGTCTTACTTTCAATGTTGATTGTGGTGGTGATGATAGTTGTAGTGGTGGTGGTGGTGGTAGTGGTGGTGCTGTTGCAAGTAGCGATAATGGTAGCAGTCATGGTGGTGGTGGTAGTAGTAGTAGTTTCAGCAGTGATGGTGGTGGTTGTTGCAGCAGTGATGGTGGTCGTGGATGCTGCATTGGTTGTTGTGGTTGCAATAGTGATGGTGGTCGTTGCAACAGTGATGGTGGTGGTTGCAGCAGTGATGGTGGTAGTTGCAACATTGATGGTGGTGGTTACAGCAGTGGAGGTGGTTGTGGTGGTTGCAACAGTGGTGGTGGTTGCAGCAGTGGTGGTGGTTGCAACAATGATGGTGTTTGGTGCAGCAGTGGTCGTTGTTGTGGTGGTTGGAACGGTGATGGTGGTGGTTGCAGCAGTTGTGATGGTTGTAGTGGTTGGAACAGTGATGGTGGTGGTTGGAGCAGTGATGGTTGTGGTGGTTGCAGCAGTGATGGTGGTGGTTGCAGCAGTGGTGGATGTTGCAGCAGTGGTGGTGGTTGCAGCAGTGGTGGTGGTGGTGGTTGTAGCTGTGATGGTGGTGGTGGTGGTTGCAGCAGTGGTGATGGTTGTGGTGGCTGCAACATTGAAGGTCGTTGTTGCAGCAGTGGTAGTGGTTACAACAGTGATGGTGGTGGTTGCAGTAGTGATGTGCTTATGGTGGTTGCAGCAGTGATGGTGGTTGTGGTGGTTGCAGCAGTGATGGTGGTTGTGGTGGTTGCTGCAGTGATGATGGTTGTGGTGGTTGCAGCATTGATGGTGGTTGTGGTTGTTGCAGCATTGATGGTGGTTGTGGTTGTTGCAGCATTAATGGTGGTTGTGATTGTTGCAGCAGTGGTAGTGGTTGCAGAATTGAAGGTCGTTGTTGCAGCAGTGGTGGTGGTTACAACAGTGATGGTGGTGGTTGCAGCAGTGATGGTTGTTGTGGTGGTTGCATTAGTGATGGTGGTTGTGGTAGATGCAGCAGTGATGATTGCTGTGGTGATTGCAGCATTGATGGTGGTTGTAGTTGTTGCAGCATTGATGGTGGTTGTAGTGGTTGCAGCATTGATGGTGGTTGTGGTGGTTGCAGCTGTGATGGTGGTGGTTGTAACAGTGATGATGGTAGTGTTGTAGATCATCAACAGACAACTACAGTGTCATCATCAACAGGTACCGGGAGATCAAATACTGGAGCAGCACGTTAACAGTAGTGGGCATCCAAGACATCATCCGTCACCTGCATCACCACAGTGTTATGATGAAGGATGTGTTACAAGTACAGACCAGCGCCAGCATCACACGACACCAGCGGCACCAGCTGGTCACCCTGGCTAAGACAACACTCAGCTGTGACTTAGACATGTGAGTGTCTGTGTTACTTGTGTTATTATCCTCTTAATGGTAGAAGTTACATCATGATAGCTACCATCATGGTAACTACCTTCATGGTGCCTGTTCATGATAGCTACTATCAATTTAGCTTCAGTCATGGTAGACGGTATATATATGACAGTTACCATCATGGTAATTGCATTGATGGCAGCTACTATATGCACAATAGCTACCATCATGATAATTAACTTCATGGTAGCTTCTATATTCATGAAAGCTACCATCATGGTAACTACCTTTATGGTAGCATCTATATTCATGATAGCTATCATCGTAGTAATTACCTTTATGGTAGCTTCTATATTCAAGATAGCTACTGCCATTATAATTACCTTCATGGTAGTTGCTATGTTCGTGATAGGTACCATGATGGTAACATTGACCATGGTAGACGTTATATTCACGATATCTACCATCATGGCAGCTACCTTCATGGTAGCCGTTACATTTAAAATAGCTACCGTCATGGTAGCTACATTAATGATAGTTCTTGTATTCAAGATAGCTACCATCTTGGTAAGTACCTCTATGGTAGAAGCTTTATTTATGATAGTCATGGTAGCTACCTTCATGGTACAAATTATATGTATTATAGCTACCATCATGGTAGCTACCTTTCATGGTACCTGTCATATTCATAATAGCTACATCATGGTAGCTACCTTCATGGTACCAGTCATCCTTCATGGTAGATGCTATCAACATGACAGCTGCCATCATGGAAATTACCTTCCTAGCATGCACTATATTCATGGTAGCTACTATAATTACCTTCACTGTAGATGGTATATTCATGATAGCTACCATCAAGGTTGCTGCTATATTACTGGTAGCTATCATCATGGTAACTACCATCATGATGGCTGGCATATTTATATCTACCATCATGGTAGCTTCCTTTATGGTAGCTGCAATATTCCTGGTAGCTACCATCATGGTAAGTACTTTATGGTAGCTGCTTTATGGAAGATAGCTACCATCATTGTAACTACCTTCATGGTAGCTGCAATATTCCTGGTAGCTACCATCATGGTAAGTACTTTATGGTCGCTGCTTTATTGAAGATAGCTACCATCATGGTAACTACCTTCATGGTAGCTGCAATATTCCTGGTAGCTACCATCATGGTAAGTACTTTATGGTAGCTGCTTTATGGAAGATAGCTACCATCATGGTAACTACCGTCATGGTAGCTGCAATATTCCTGGTAGCTACCATCATGGTAAGTACTTTATGGTAGCTGCTTTATGGAAGATAGCTACCATCATGGTAACTACCTTCATGGTAGCTGCAATATTCCTGGTAGCTACCATCATGGTAACTACCTTCATCTCTAGCTTTAGCCAGGTTTCAGTGAGAGTAATAATGGACATACTGGCATACAGGGAATTTATTAATGCTCTAAGATGATCGTAATGTTTGCTTAAAGATTTAACATTGTAGTACAAGACAGTTATGTTGTTGTTGGTTCTGAGAAGTAAGTGTCTTTGATTGTTTTACTGTGTAATAATTACAGTTACTGTATTAAGATCCCAAGAAGATGCAGTGTCTGACAGGTTTGTAGATGAATGGTTGTATGGACTGATGAAGCCACTGTGTGGCGAAACGTTTCCTCAATAAAGATACCCAAGAGTTGCACATGTGTCTAATTTATCAACATGTCGGTTCTCTGAACCATTCATCTACAAACAAATGCAGTATAATGTGATCCTTTATTGACTACGTTTCGCCCACACAGTGGGCTTTTTCAAGTCACAAACAGAACTGAACTGTTCTGTTTGTGACTTGAAAAAGCCCACTGTGTGGGCGAAACGTAGTCAATAAAGGATCACATTATACTGCATTTGTGTTTATATTGCCATTGTGTCGGTATTTTATACCATTTATTTCCAGTGTATAACTGTTACAGGCAGTTCATAACACTAATCATGGACAGTGGGTATAATCTGCACTTTATTCTGATTCTGTTAACTCAGCCTCACTCAGGAAAGTTTTTAGGTCGTATTCCGTAGAGATGAAGTGTCTCTTCCCAGTGGGCAATTTCCTGCCAATTTTCCGTCATTCACAAATCAATGGTGAATTTTTTGCGTATGGCGTAATTTTCTTACTCGATAACGGAGGTTTTGTCTTCTTTTGTTAAGGTACTCAGTGACGTATACAACAGTTTCCATAGAAATGGATGTTTTTAGCAGGTTGTTTCTTTGTAGGCTGATTTTGGATTTAAATAAGCACTGTTTTCTTTTTTACCTGCTTGGTAGCCCATCAGTTTGCAATCTTTTAGTTCATGACTACATATGTTAAGGCGAAGGTGGTCCTTGATAAGCTGTAGGGTGGTCTCCATGCAGGTCTCTTGGGTGACTGTAGGTGGGAGATGTTTCCTATTAACTACAACAGCGTCAGAGAGCTGTTGTTGGTCATTATGGTCCTGGAAGTTGGTGATGACATTTGCAAGTTGTGGATCCACTCGTGATCTTTCTTCTATGACGTTGGTAGTAAGGAGGGTGACTTGGGCTTTTAGTGTTGATGGTGTCCACAGACTGGGTGTGGGTGTTGCTTAGTTCCAGAGTGTCTAGTTTATGTTCTAGACTTTACCTGGAGTTTACCTGGAGAGAGTTCCGGGGGTCAACGCCCCCGCGGCCCGGTCTGTGACCAGGCCTCCTGGTGGATCAGAGCCTGATCAACCTGGCTGTTTGTAAAGTAAAAGGACACAAGTGCAACTAATGTGACATTTATTGTGGCAACGTTTCGCTCTCCAGGAGCTTTATCAAGCCATTACAAACAATACATGGACACAGAGGGTATATAAAGGCTCAGAGTGAGTATTCACCTCACTCTGAGCCTTTATATACCCTCTGTGTCCATGTATTGTTTGTAATGGCTTGATAAAGCTCCTGGAGAGCGAAACGTTGCCACAATAAATGTCACATTAGTTGCACTTGTGTCCTTTTACTTTACATATTGTCGGTAATTCTACCAACTTTATTACAACCTGGCTGTTACTGTTGGCTGCACGCAAACCAACGTACGAGCCACAGCCCGGCTGGTAAGGTACCGACTTTAGGTGCTTGTCCAGTGCCAGCTTGAAAAGAACCAGGGGTCTATTGGTAATCCCCCTTATGTATGCTGGGAGACAGTTGAACAGTCTCGGGCACCTGACACTTACTGTATTGTCTCTTAACGTGCTAGTGACACCCCTACTTTTCATTGGGGGGATGTTGCATCGTCTGCCGGGTCTTTTGCTTTCGTTGTGAGTGATTTTCGTGTGCAAGTTCGATACTAGTCCCTCTAGGATTTTCCAGGTGTATATAATTATGTATCTCTCCCGCCTGTGTTCCAGAGAGTACAGGTTTAGGAACCTCAAGCGCTCCCAGTAACTGAGGTGTTTTATCTCCGTTATGCGCGCCGTGAAGGTTCTCTGTACCTTGAAAGGTACTGTTAGTATACAGCAATATTCCAGCCTAGACAGAACAAGCGACCTGAAGAGTGTCATCATGGGCTTGGCATCCCTAGTTTTGAAGGTTCTCATTATCCATAAGAACATAAGAACATAAGAAAGGAGGAACACTGAAGCAGACCTGTTGGCCCATACTTGGCAGGTCCTTTACAATCCATCCCACTAACAAAATGTTTGCCCAACCCAGTTTTCAATGCCACCCAAGAAATAAGCTCTGATAACTCAAATCCAACCCCTCTAACTCATGTATTTATCCAACCTATATTTAAAACTACCAAAAGTCCTAGCCTCAATCACCCAACTAGGTAGACTGTTCCACTCACCAACTACCCTATTTCCTAACCAATACTTTCCTACATCCCTTCTAAATCTAAACTTGTCCAATTTGAATCCATTACAGCGGGTTCTCTCCTGGAGAGATATCCTCAAGACCTTGCTGACCACGATAAAGAATTTTTGACCACGATAAAGAATTTGATTGACCACGATAAAGAATTTCTGACCACGATAAAGAATTTGATGACCACGATAAAGAATTTGATGACCACGATAAAGAATTTGATGACCACGATAAAGAATTTGATATTATTTACTTAGATTTTAGTAAGGCATTTGATAGAGTTCCGCACCAAAGACTGTTGAAGAAAGTAGCAGCTCATGGCATTGGGGGAAGAGTGCTCTCGTGGATCGAATCATGGCTCACAGACAGGAAGCAGAGTGTCCATAAATGGGGTTAAATCCGAGTGGGGATCAGTAACAAGTGGGGTTCCACAGGGATCAGTCTTGGGCCCGTTGTTGTTTATAATATATATCAATGATCTTGATGAAGGAATTACTAGTGATATGAGCAAATTCGCCGATGACACGAAGATAGGTAGGATAATTGATTCAAACGTAGATGTTAGGGAACTTCAGGAGGATTTAGACAAACTCTACTCTTGGTCAGAAAAGTGGCAGATGCAGTTCAATGTAGATAAATGCAAGGTTCTGAAGCTCGGAAGTGTCCATAACCCTAGCACTTATAAGTTAAATAATGTAGAACTTAGCCATACAGATTGCGAAAAGGACTTGGGGGTTATGGTAAGCAGCAACCTTAAACCATGTAAAGTAAAAGGACACAAGTGCAACTAATGTGACATTTATTGTGGCAACGTTTCGCTCTCCAGGAGCTTTATCAAGCCATTACAAACAATACATGGACACAGAGGGTATATAAAGGCTCAGAGTGAGGTGAATACTAGTGAGGTACCATTTCGATGTTCACTAGTGGTAGTAGTAGTAGTAGTAGTAGTGGTAGTGACAAAAGTAATACAATATGGTAGAGCAATTAATTCATGAGTAAAAGGATATAAAAGCTATTACTTGGGTAACATAAAAATAGGTTGGACAAATATAAACTGGAATGAGGCAGCTTGTTTCAGTGTTCACTCTCTGTGCTTTGTGTAGTATAACAGGAGAGACTATGTGATGGCATACTGTTTTCAGGAGGATTCTTGCTAAGACTTCGGAGATGGTG